TTATATTTTCACCAACTTTTACAGAGATGGAAAAAAAACTATTGCAACAAGACATATTAGTTTATTTTGAGACTTTTTCAGCAGGATTCATTTGCAGTCTCTCAAAGTGATATACTACAAAAAATATTTTTAACAAAGAATAAGAAACAATAGAGAACTTAAAAAGAAATGAGGCACACCAATCATAACATTTTATAAATAAGAGCACGCCCTGAACCCTTCCTGAGTCAGTGTCATATGGGGTGTTCTGCTATCGCAAAATAGCTATCCAACACGTTCATGACGGTTGAAACGTTTTGTACATATGCACGATAGCGTCACTGATTGGATGTGATTACTTATGAGTGTTGAGCCTTCCGAATTATCATTAGTGATCGATCACTTTAAAGATGAACAATCGTGATAAAATCCGGTAAGTATAGGCTAATCAGGCAATTTATAGTTGAGTATACATTTTAGTGTTTGCACTAGATCCCCGAAGAAATAACACCCCAAATGTGATTTCGTCATATAAACATTGTCACACATACAGAAGTAATGTCGAAGTTGTGTATGTGTTATCTTTGATAACATAAACCAAACACAATATTCACAGAAATATTATCAATTATGGTGGCAAATTGACCAAGATGTAAAGGTGACTGTCTAGTGAAATAATAAAAACTTATATTTTTATAAGAAAACCGATATAAAATAGTTTATTATGTCTCGTGAAGTGATTATATAAAGATTACAGACTGTAATCATATATTATGCAGTATCGAGAAAAGGTATTCAGACGACACACGGCACATCCATAAGACTGCCAAAAGGTCAGAGGGCTAGAAAATAATGTGAAAATCATCCGATCGACTAGAATTCCACTAGTAATACTTAGATTCAAAATAAGAGAACACATTTATAAGAATACAATAGACGCATACAATGTCCATTGACAGCCTTATAGGTGACTATTATGGTGTACCAATAATACTTCCTACTGGCAACAAAACCTTTCATTTGTCTTATAATAGTGGGCCTGTTGTTTTTACTTTCTTGCTACTGCTTTACAGCAAAAAGAAATTAAATATAAAAGATGTTGAGTTGATAATGGACTAGTCACAAATGAAAAATGTGTGACCATTTCTCAGCAGAAATACTATTTTGTTTTCAGCCCGGGGGAGGGCCGCTGATAATAATTAGGCTACATCCCTCTGCCTTAATCTTTATTAAAAATATTCTTCGGACATGTAGTTTGTGGGTTCCTTGATTTACCAGTTTCAGCAAGTCTCGTCTATCTGGTGTATGGTGAACAACACTCACCCCTCAAACTGTGTTTTGATTGTTTTCCAACTGAGTCACCCTCTGTCAAATCTAGTCTTGGCTTCAGGCTTTGGCTTCGAGATTATAATATTGTAAACATAGTTGGGTTTTATCAATTTATAGTTTTCCGTAATATCCGGTTGAAGACATGGCCAGATGAGGTTAAATACTCAAAACATGTTGTGTCATGTCTAATGCTTGTAACTGACAATTAGTCTCCAGACATCACATGATCTTGAGACGAAAAGTGTGGAAGAAATGTTTGTACAACTTCCCCACAGCTCGGACCCGGCGCGCACCTTGCCATTAGTGGGTTAAGATTACATTTAGAAGAACGTGAAAATAAAAGAATCACATATTCCGAGGCGTTGGGTCTAATCTGTAACAGCCCCTCCTCAACTCTGAGGGTGGTTCCAATTTAAGAACAACATTCTGAACATGGAAAGATGAAATGTCTTGTGGTCTTCTGGCTGAGAGTAAAGATACACATCTCTCTTTTAAAAACCTGGCAGTAAGAGTGTTTTCTTTCTTGTGGCATATTTTCCTGATGAAACCTTCACAACTCGGCTGCTCTATGGCTTCCATCACTCCTGGGTCATATCTGTCATGGCTCTCTTGATCAGTACTTATACCAG